ATTATATGGACACTGCAATGTAAGTAGAACAGAAGAGGAAAAACAGAAAAAAAGGAGAAAAGATGAAAGAAAGAGGAGATAAAAGGGGATAATGATAAAACATTTGCAGTCTGCTTCATCACCTGCAAAGAGATGTAAAAAGAACAGCACAACCAACAGACATGGTACAAGACATACAATAAAGTAACACCTAAATACTATTGCTGAAGTAGTATTATTTAATCTGACATGTTACTCTGTGTTACCTGAAGATAAGAATATGGGCTTTCTGTATGGAAGTGAATCTCTAAGTACCTGGAACCAAGCACCTGTAGTTGTTTCTGAGAGTGCTGTTGTGCATGTAAAGTTTATCCAAAGAAAAAATGCTCAATAGTGGTTGTGGAGTGCTGAAGAGGTGCCCTCCAAGAGCGTATGTATTTTTTAAGCAGGGTTATTATACAGTGTTATTGCATAGGGTATTATATAGTAATTGCACATTATACATTGCACAAGTTATTGCTGTAGTAGGTGTCGCATTGTATAGTCTGGAGGCAGCAGGGATGAATGACCTGCAGTAACGCTCCTTTCTGTGCTTCTGCGATTGTGTTATCCTTTGTACATATATATATATATATATATATATATATATATATATATATATATATATATATGCATGACAGCTGAAGTCTTTTAGTTTAGCAGGGTTATTATACAGGGTTATTGCACAGTATTATAAGTAGTAATTGCACATTATCTGGTGGCAGCAGGGGTGAATGACCTGCAGCAGCGCTCCTTTTTACAAACAGGGTGCATGCAGTAATATTTGCATCATGTTGACACTTGACGCAATAGAAACGCGACAGTTGGAGACTGACAAGCTGCAAACAGCAGGTTATATCCCCGCCTAATGAGCCTCCTTCAGCGGTTACAGTTTAGAGGAAACATCCGAGTAGCAGGCTCTGTCTGCAGCAGATATGGTATCACCTCTCTTACTGGAAGTCACTGTGGCACAATGACTCAACATTACTCCGCCTACGAACGTTTCTTTGGAAGTAACCAAACCAAGCCCTCCTCGGATACTTGAAGTTTCACACGTGTCACTAATAAAATCCATCCTGCTTTTAATATTATGATTAAATATTTGTAAAGGAGCCGTTAAATGGGGAGGAAATAATGTTTATTTTAAGCACAAAAACTAAACAGAACATAGGGTTCAGAGCAGATAGAAAGTGCTCTAACATCTCAGCTATGCGGTGAAAAAAAAAAAAAAAATCTCTTCTTGATTCGTCACGTTGGCCAACAGGGCTGGATGTTTGTTTTGACAAAGCGTTCATGAGAGGACTTGCTTTGAGTGTGAAGGCAGGAAATAAAGCACGCAACCCTGCTTAATGGCACATTGTGCGCAACAGGGAAGTGAACCTTGGCTGTCTTTCTGCGCTCGGCGCTGAATTTTATCCGCCCTGCTCTCGAAGCTGACTTTCTCTTCGCCAGAAATAAGGAAAAAAAAAAAAAAAAAAACCAAACGACTTTTCTTCTTTTTGACTCCAAAGTAAACGTCAGGACTATGGCCTGCCAGTCGGAGAACTTCTAAGCAAAAGGAAAAAGAAAAGGCGACGACCTTAATAACTGTCCGTGTTTTGAAACCTAAACTTCACTCAAGGTAAGCTCAAATATAGAGAGCATATACTGTACTTGTGGCGTTTTTATTTTTAAACAAGGGCCCCTTTTTGCTTTCGGAGGCCTGCGTATGTTTGCGCGCAAGACGTGATGAAGGATGAAGGTTATTTCTGCCATGTTTTTGATACAAAACAACTTCATGCAAAACAGCCAAACACAGTGTCCGTCTTTAAAAATGCTTTTTATCCTCTCATTAAATAAAAGAAAACAAAACAAAACCCTCACTTCTTTTTTATTCTTTACAAATAAAAGTCTTCTTTGCTAACTCAATTTACACCAACCTATGCCTTGCTCCCAGTGGTTTTATATTTGCTTTCACCTTAAGCTTAGTGATGTTTGTAAAACATTAAAACCAACACTAAACAGATTTAAAATGAATAATCTTAATATCCTGTCATTGAACTGTAATCCTTGTTGATCAAGGCCCAAGATCCGAGCACAACAGCTCTGAATATGTGGGATTATGAAACACAGAGAGTCTTATGCTTCTGTCAAAAGTAAAAATTTGTATTTGGATAAAAAGCTTTGAAGCTATATAAACATGCAGGGACTAGTTCTTCAGAAGGAAGGATGGAGTCTATGCGGGTAACATCATCAGCTCAGCTTCAGCCACGGAAATGCCTCTTTAAGTCCCTAAAGGATCAACTGGACTCTCCCCACTACTGTTCTGCTTGTCCATTTTCAGCAAAGAGGAAGAAGGAAGTCTCTGTTTCTCTTTCGAATCTAACTGAATCACTGAGTTTGGATTAGTTCTTGAGTACTGCTGCCTCTGCAGATGTATGTATTATAAATAAGGCTTTAAAATGATGGTTTAAAAAGTACAATAAGCACGTTGAATGACATCACTGGTGTTTTGGTTTGTTGTGAGTCAGAATTAGTATATTTTGATCACTATACTTCTTCCCATTTTGCAGCTCTAGATGCAGTAGTTGGAATCAGGATTCTTCAATTGTGATCTTTGTGAAAATATAGTAGCACAACTATCTTATTAAGAAAAATAAAAGAAAATGTTTAAAATACATATATGATAATTTGAATTTAGAACATAGTAATGTGGTATTTTGGTGTTTTGTTTGTATTATAGATTAGATAGAGTCTAATTGTCAGTTATTAATTGGTTAATAAGTCAGAAAATCTGCTCTGGGCTGCTTTAAAGACATACTGGTTATATCTATAATGATTTATATACATATAATAACCTATATAATAGGTGATACTCATTTGGCTTCCATACAACAGCTCTATTACTCTTTGTTGGAGGTGACGTATAGAGGTATGCAAAGTAGCTGCAGCTAACTCTATGCTCCATACATTCAGAGCTAGTGGTCATTTATTGCCTCACCAATGTTGCTGGCTGCATACAGTGCATTGCTCAAGGACGCAGGTGTGCTGTCAGTGCTGATTGCAGGAATCACAGCTGTAGATCTGAGAAAGTTGAAACAAATATGCGCTGTTGAAACTTTTGTTTAACCTTTCTGGAAATGTATATGCTCAACTGGCTGCTTCCTCAGATTAGAGGTATTACTGCCACTGTCCTTGTTCTTTGCATTACAAATATTGCACTGAGGATAAGCTGTATTGCATTTTTGAAAAGTGGAGCCATACTCTCTACCACTCTGTTTAAGCAATGCTTGCTTTGTTTTTGGAAGCATCCAACACATTTGTGCTGTTTTGATGCAGAGAATGGGAGACTCCCCACACTTCCAGTCCCTCTGTGTTCCAGTGATGCGTTTAGGAACCAAAACTTGCTATTGTGTAGTTTTACCTGAATAGATACTCAGAATTTGGTTGTTACCTATAAAAACACTGAACTTGGTACTAAAAATTGTTAGAACTTTTCAAATTTAACCATTTAAAACCTAGATATACTTTGATACTTATAATAGACTCATACATATGTGGATGCTGCACTGTTAATATGATCCTACTAACTCATTAGTGACCATAGGGGGTTTTAGAGTTTACGTACCTAAGATTCATTGGCATTTAGGGAGTTGGTGTCGTAAAAAAACGTCATATTTTTTATATTTCTCTTTCTGCAGATTTAAAACATTATTTTCTTCAAAAGTATTTTCAGTAAGTGATTTGTTTTCTTATCTCAAATCTACTTTTAAGTCATCACATAATAAGCAGACAAGGATGTAGGTGAAATGGAACATTTTTACTCCATGAGTTAAAATCTTCTGATCCCGGAAGGGCTGTATGATATGACTGAAAATGTATCATCATAAAAGCCTTTCATATCAGTTGATATTAATAACTGCTTTTTGTTTTGTTTTCGCTATTTAAAATTAGAACAAGGGATGAAAGGCCAAAATTGAATTGCTACACTAACCCTATTTTAACATAGTATTTAACGTTTAAAAATAGATCAGCACTACCACCGTTACCCCTCATAGCTAAGAGGCGAGCCCTCTGGGCCTGTGAGAGGTTAAATTAATCGATGTGCCTACATCCCCCAGAATGCTGTACGGTTCTGAGTCAAAATTCAGGGAAATTATAGAGATTTTGGTGGACATATTTTCTTCAGTTATTGAGATTTCAGGTATTTCCTAGCCTTCGCTCCAGGCCATTCTGTTTAAGAGACACAGTATCTTGACTCATAAACAGCAATTTGAACCACAGATATTTTAAATCACAGCAGCTACTAGCATTTTGCACAACCAGCGGGTGCAACCTGGACAGTTTGTGACAGGGCAACACAGAGACATACAACTATGCACATACACACTCAAGCCTTATGGCAATTTAAAGAAGCCAATTAACCGAACAGCCATGTTATTGGAGTAGTCAGAGATAAACCACACATGCACAGGGAGAACATGCAAACTCTGTGCAGAAAGAACCCCAGGCCGGGAATCAAACGCAGAACTTTCTTTCTGCAAGGCAGCATTGCTACCCACTGTGCCAAGGTGCAGCCAAAACCAAAGCTGAAGCCACTGTGAAACCCAACATGTGGTACCGCTTTAGAATCCGGTGATCCCAAAGAAAGCAACCATCAACTAAATTGTAAGCCAACCAAACTCGACAAACACCATTACCTAATAATCTATCATCAATTAGATTAAATCATTTTCCCTTCTTACCTTGTTTTAATCTTCTGGTTTTCTAAAACACATTCTATCGTGGCATATATAGACTAATTTTCTCCATAACACTCCACGGAAAAATAATATCCATTTGTATTTCCCATAAAATATGTTCAAGTGTTGTACTAATCAACCAAAGTTTCTTTTTTCCATGCAAAAATAAAAAAATATAAGGATAAAAACACATATTCCATGTGTGTAATGAGGTATATCCACAATCTTAGATTATCTATGTTATGTGGGCTCATTCACTAAACAGTTTGCTCCAAAAATCGTGCATATTTTTGTTCTCAGTATAGAGAAAATGTTAACATTACAGTTTGTATGCATATCACCAGAAGCTAAAACATCTCAGCTTTCAAATGAGATAAATCACAAGCATGTAGGACTTATTATATTATTTACAGGCCAGTGTCATTTGGGTTTGCAATGCATTTGTGCACAAGCTCTAAGAAGGTGGGAGCTGAGGGGTTTTAAGTGTTGAAGCTGTAAGTTGCATAATAACTCCATTCTGCTGATGAATTATTAAAGGACCCAATCTAATATGCTTTTGTCTATGCAAATATTTAAGCTAAACTGAAATCCAGATGAAAAAGAGGAAAAACACAAGTGACAAGGTGTTTTCTGTAAAAGGTCATGCAGGATGTTGGTTTTTCTTAGTATATTGTGTAAACAGTTTTCTCTTGCCAGAACATACAGTATCTGAAGGTGAAAAAACCCGTTGGGACACTTCTAGGGGCAGCATATTTCCTAGTAATCTGTTTATTATGTGCAAGTACCAACAGTTCTTCATATGTTTGAAGCAATAATGGCGAATCTTCAGAGAGACGAACACAATTCTTATGTTTTTTTGGCCTTTTCTGTGGGTTTGACTTATGGATGCATGTAGCCATAACTAGAGATATAGGTGCTTCGGTTAAAACAGCAAACTAAACAAACATTTCATTTTTAATAAGAAAAAGAATATTTAAGTAAAATCCACAAAATACATTGTTTCATTTAAGGTGGTTTTGTTTCTATTTCACTTTTTTCATCATAAAATAACTGCTTAACCTAAGCATTTCCTGTATTGGGATAAAAGATTTTAAAAGTGTTTGTTTGGCATGGGAATTTAACTGGTATGTAGGCATTCAAGCCCTAACCCAGACCCAAGTTACAGTGTTAAACAGCAAGCTAAAGTTTTTGCAAATATATAGGCTTGCTAAAATATTTTTGGCCTAAGAGCAACGATGATTAACCTCAGTAAAATGTTAAACATTTAAATGAAATGTCAAACTTTGCAGGGAAGTAGTAGCCTAAAGGTTCTGAGTTCAAGCCCCACTCCCACAGACTGCCACTCTGGGTCTCTGAGCAAGACCCTTAAACCCACAATGCTTCCCAGGCGCCACACAGTGGCAATAGGGCTGCAACTAACGATTATTTTAAAAATCGATGAATCGGCCGATTATTTTTTCGATTAATCGATGAATCGGACAAAAAATATTTTTTATATTAACCTCTTTATTCCAAAATAAACAATATTTTTTGTCCGATTCATCGATTAATCGAAAAAATAATCGGCCGATTCATCGATTA